TTTCGAAGAAGGCGCAGCAGCACCCTCAACTGCAGCAGCAAGTGAACGAAGTGGAGCTGGAGGATGGGCGCGAGCAGCAGCGGCAACAACAGCAGCAGCGAGAGCAGCTCTTTCAGCAATTGCTCGAGCAGGTCAGTGGGGCCATTGGCCACCTCCCGCTCGTTTTTATGCGTTTTTGCATATATGCAAATTGCAAAAACGCATATTGAGAAGTGTGTGTGTGTCTGTGTGTTCGCACTTTTTGTCACCCACTTTCAACTCGAGAACCAGAAAAGCTAGAAGGCTGAAGCTTTGAGAGTATGTGCCCATACCATGCGCGACCCTCCCGTTTTAATTTCATTCCCCTCGGAAGTCTGGGTGCCGCGTACGGACGCTTTAAAAAAATATGCAAACTTTTTGGCGAGAAAGCGATCTCGGGAATCACATGAGCTAAGGGGCTGAAACTTTGTAGGGACTTTTCCTGTGTATGTACTAGCTAAAAATTTCAAATTCAGCTCCCCGGGTGTGCGTGGTACTCACGTAATGGCGTATGAAAGTTTTAGGGGGGAAATTGCTAATTCGGGTGTCAGAAAAGCTAGAAAGCTGAAATTTTGCAAAGCTGAAATTTTGGGCATCTGCCTTTTAAAGTAACGTACAGCTTTCCCTTTCTCTCTGTTGTTCTTTGGAAGGTATATAAAATTGTGGTATCTTTTTCTTTCCCGATTTTTCGTGGGTTTTCCGTGATAGCTAAAGTGGTGCTGACAAGCATGACAAGTGATTGTTAGTTTGCCAGCGAATGATTGCTGAGCGCACTTGCCACCACTCGGGGAGTAGGCATTTGTTATCAGTGCCAATTCTCAAAGTGAGTTTGGTGAACGAATAAAGTAAGGCTTCTTACAAAGGCTTGCCAAGAATTACAGTTGAGTTGATTGAAGCTTTGTTAAGCGGACTACCCGGTCGATGTCGATACCGAATAAGCACGAAGCCGAGGCCAAGTGGAAATGCAAGACGCTGTCGATGTCGCTAAAAGTGGCCAGGAAGTCGTGGTAGCTGTCGATGAGAGTAGTTTTAGCTTCCGAATGGGGTAAGTGGGTGAGAGGGGAAGGGGAGGGGGAGAGTTAAATTAAGAAAATTTAACACAGCAGCAGCCGTTGCATCTGTGGGATTTCGAAACAGAATTATCAGCTATAGATTGGTGGGCTAAAATTGCCGAAAAATAATTTCACAGGATTCAACTGCCTTGTATTTAAAATACATTTTACTTACAGGAGGAGCAGGAATTTCTTGAACAAGTGCGACTTGCTGCAAGTATGTTTTGCTTTTTCCTACATTCAAGAAACGTGCTGAGATTTTTTTAATAATGGCAGTTGCTACTCCACTGCGAATACCAAGACAGTGCAGGCAGTCGGCGTGACATCTCGATGTATTGCTGAGATAAAGCTTCTACATTCGGAGAGCATCGCAGCCGGATCTGCTGTTCTTGGCTTTAGTATTTCTCCCATTGCCCGTGAAAGTTTTTTACGCCACCGCCATGTATTAAGCATGGAAAGTAGTTCTTCTATAGTGTTTATACTTTAAAAATTCTCTTCGATACAGCGTATGTGGTGCTTAGAAAATTCTAAGTCGAGAATACCGTTCGGAGTGCTAGTTGAAATGCCGAAATTCCAGGGCGCTACTGGGACTATGTGTTATGAATTCGGGCTAGAGAAGCGAGTAGGTTGACGCTTCTGTGTTTTACAGTTATTGCTTGGGTCAAAAAGCTGATTGAAAAGGGCATATAGTGTACCCTTACCATATTTCTTTACTATATGCGCGCAAGAAAGTAACAGCAAAAAGGCCAAATTGTACTGGTTCTATGATACTCGTTGTTTTTTTGCGACGATGGGTAAAGATTTGCATCATCATAT